GGTCGCTTGAAGGCGCGACTGCCGAAAATATGGGGCTGGATGTTACTTCATGGCGCAGGCTTGCCAGGTAGAAGTTACAGCTTTCTTTGCCTCAAAGGCGAAGGGCAAGGGAAGCCGATGGGTAGGCATGCCCACGGTTACAAGCCCACACCCAGTGGAGTTATATCGATAGGTCCACGGCAATCCAGCGGTATAAAGACAGCGCACGTCTCCGCGATCTCTGTTGTCCTTTTGCCATGTTGGGTCTGTCAGCGAAAGCTTTGACAGTGAGGTATTGTGGTTATGGATGATGATCCCAACCATCCGGAAGCTTATCCTAGCTTTTGTAACTCTGCAAGCGTGTCGCAGGAATTCTTTCGTGGGTCTCGCGACAGCGACAGTGCCGACCAGACCTTGCATATCGGGCGAGCCGAATGCAATTCCCCAGCGATGGAGGTACAGTTGCTGACCTCTGTGTAGCAAAACAAGCCCGTCGACTACGACGCGATGACGGTGAATGATGAAGACTCCTTGGAGAATCATAGGAGCCAAAGCGCGAGGCTAAATTGAAGGCCCAGGTTTTGGTAAGTTGTGCTGACTGTTGCTCCATTGACTAGGCGCCATGAGTTATTTGGCTTTACTTGGTTATGTTTTCAGTATGTCTGGGTTTTCATGCGTGTTTTTTGCTTTTCCTTGGCCTCCGCAGCATTTGGCGTGTGATATTCCCTGTATTTTCCTGTACTGTTGTAAAGGCCCAGTCATGAAAAGGTACATATGAGCATGTATGATGGGCAGGCTTAGCTTGCTGTCATCAGATGAAGGTTATGAGCACCTCATCAGTTTTGCCTGGAACAGCTCGTGGGTTAATTTTGCAAGCTGAAGCCTACACCCTGGAAGAAAGCGATCCACTCAGAGCTGCTGTTGCGGACCTTCTTGGTAAGTTACACCGCAAGAAGATGGCAGGCTAGCTCTGCAGCCTTCATGAGGCAAGCGTGGTTTACGCATTGCCGTTCGCCACGCGACACACTCCGAAACCCTAAGATGACAAAGCATGAGGATAAGCGATTCAACATAGGGATCGAATCCTTGCGAGAATGCCTATGGAGCCAAGGGTCAAACATGTGGCGAGGCATATTATTTGGACAACCGTCCCACACAGCCTACGGACGAAGTCCGATGGATTGATACAGATGTTGTGGTTGCAGACCCGTTGACAAAGGTCATTGGTAGAGTCAGCTATCTAAACATAAACCACCCCGTTGATTCTGTTTTCAAGAAAAAGCAACGCAGCTTAGAGAAGGAAGACAGCTTCTCCTGCGGAACCACTCAGTGGGATGGGTTGAAACCAAGAAATGTGGATTTTTCACGACAGGTTTCTACACCAGGAGAGTCACGGGTGTAAAAGTGTTTGAAGCCTGGTAGTCAGTTTAAGCCATTGTTTGTGCAGCCTAGCATAAGAGAAGCCGTGACACAGACATCGTGCGACTTCCCACGGGGGCCTTTTTTTGGGCCGAACTGGAAAGCGTCCGGTTTTCACATTCAGCTTTCATGTGCGGATCGAAGATGTTCTGATTTGCAACGGGTAGAACTGAAGCAGATGGTGCGCCGTACTCTGACAATTTCTGACTTGTCTCGCTCAAAACCTGTAGGCCCGTGCTTGCGAACAGACAAGACTTGATCAACGCTCTTGTTGCGAAGGTCTTGAACAAACCACAGGGCACCCTGGAGGAATTTGAGGCGCAGCATGGCGTGGCTCCCGCACCTGCCCGCGCCAGATAGTTGTTGCACACGGTTGTAGGTCCGCCAGCGCAGGCCAGGCACGGAAATTCTGTCACGCCAGGAGTAGCGTGGTTTGGGAGAGAAACCAAGGAGAGACCCGTCTCCAGACCGGTCAGATTGGACGCCCGACGCAGTGCCCCAAGACAACATGCAAGCATGCACGCCGCAAGCCATCATGGCTTCGATTACCCGACGAGGACTTTGCCGACGAGCAGAAGGACAAGGCCGATGCTGCTTTCAAGGAGGGCATTTTTCGCCGTTGGCCCCAGATGTCCTGGCGGTGTGGGCGAAGCATGTATTGTCCCAGCGTGCTGTCGCCATCAGGTGATGCCATCGTCTACTACACCAGAGCGCTGCGGCACACACCCCGAAACGAGAGGCCTGATCCTACTTATATACCGACGGGCTGTTGCGTTTGGCCACATGCTAAAAACTTGGCAAGGTTGCTGTCAAATCGCAGTTCAGAGCCCAGAAGCAATTCCAGTTTTTTGGATGTCCGCGCCTGTCCAGCTCATTGCCCAGGTGCTGCATACTGCAAGATCTCCAAGTACCAACTTGCTCTGGACTGTTACAACAGTTGATCTGGATGCGGCTGGCCGCATGTTGACGTCAATGAGCTTACGTCGAATCAGGATGATGTAAACCTTGCGATGGAGATTGAACCTTCCTGGCGCTCTTCTCAGCGGCTGGTTGCAGAAAGAGGTATTGCATGAGAGCCAGCTGAGCAGTGTCGTTCGGTGAGAGGCCCAAGCTGCACTATCGGCGGGGCCAGGTCTTCGGACTCAGATCCTCTAGATTTGGGGCTCGGGCTTTGCATGCTCGCCTGCGCTAGGCGCTGCGTGGCCTTCGCCGATGGGACGAGGCCCGGGCCTAGGACTTTGCTTTGCCGATGGAAGCTGCCGCACTCAGGCGGTCTCAGCCTTCGAGGAAGGACGAGAACTGGATCCTCAGAACCCTGACTGGGATAAAGAGGCGCGTCCTGGCAAACAGGCTGTGCTGTGTTACAATCTGCGACACGTCAGGTGAACCGAACGAGAGCCGCCAAAGAGCTGAAAGAAACCTCCTCATTGCAAAAGGCCAAAAACTGATCCTTCAGAGGGTTGTAAGCGTACGAACTGTGCCGTAGCCTACTTAGTATTCTGCTGACCGTTCCAGAAGTTGATTCCAAGACATAGATACAGTTGTTTCTAGAACACCTTAGGTTTTTTAAAAGAATCAGCCGACTGTTCAACTTGCTAATTACATCCTGACGTCTGTCAGCGTATGTCAGGGGCTTGAAAGAGAAGGGAACGGAGTAGAAGGTAGGGCTCAGAAGGAAACTGGAAAATTGCAAGCGCACATTGCCTCACTGTGCTAACTGGAGAACTTCTGAAACGGGATCAAGCTTCTGTCTCGGTTTTGATGTGTCGCTTCTGGGGTAACTTGTGAGATCTATATGACGGTTGTCGTCTGTTTGGTGTTGCCGAGATGTTTGTGAGTGTCTCGGTATTCTAGGCACAATTGTCAGTGCAACAGTTGCAGCAAGCTCCTAGAACAAACCCGCACGACCTCACCAGCCAATTTGTTCATACGTACTTGCCTTCGCAACATACTGCAGTATTCACAAAGCGTGTGTCTTAAATCAGTGTTCCATAGGGAGAGGTTGCGTCGCGGAATAATGTTCGCGGAACAAACTGGAAAAATGCTTTTAATGGTGCATGTTTCAAGAGGACGTTCAGGGGGGTTGCGGAAAATTTGGCAACCGCTTGGCTGGGTTTATGGTTTCCAGATTTGGGGTTTCTAGGTTCAGGGTTTTTGGTTTAAGGGTTCAGGGCCTAGGGTTTCTGGGTTTAGGGTTTCTGGATTTAGGGTTTCTAGACTTCGAGACTCAGGGTTTATGGGTTTAGGGTTTCTGGACGTTCTGGGTTTGAGGTTTCTCGGCTCTGGGATTAAGGGTTTCTGGGTTTGGGGTTTGCGGGTTTGGGGTTTTTGGATTCAGGGTTTCCTGGTTCAGGGCTTTGGGCTAAGGGGTGTAGAGTTTCTGGGCTTGGGGTTTCCGGGTTTAGGGTTTCCTGGTTCAGGGTTTCTGGGTTTAGGGTCAGGGGCAAATCCCTCTCTTTGTGGGCGCTGGGGCAGCACGCAGATGCAGTACACACAAAATACAGCAGAAAAGATTTCAAACATACACCCCACTCCCCCCAGCCCTTAAAGGACTGAATTGCGTACCTACCAGGGTTGCGGACCCGGGTTTCGGTTTTTCTTATTCGAACCGTCTCCCATGTCTTGGAATAGTATCGTCCCCCTCTCCCCCCCCTCCCCCCCTCCCCCCCCGCCTCCCCCCGAATGTTTGAAAATTCATTCCGACCGCCCCTCAAGAACCCCCCCATCGCTGTGCTGCTTTCCAGTTTTCCAGGGCTTTTGGACTGGACGCTCTCCCTAATCCGTCCGATTCTCTGCCATGCCACCTAAAAATCATGAAGCAATCTTCAAAAGGGAGATTTGGTGGAACATCGTGAAATATCGTGAAGGTCTTGAAACAATGAGTACAGTTCATACCGTTCTACAAGTCCGATACGTGCTTTAGTAGCTGTTTGAGCTCTTGGCCTTTTCTTTAGGACCCATGGTCATAGTTTGGTTCATGCGAACAAGAGATGGGATACCAAAACATGGCTTTTCAGTTGTCATGGCACCTACATAAAGTTTTGAGCCCAGAAGAGCTGTAGCGGGTGAGTTGAGACTGCAGCTCTCAGCGGTTCAGACGAAAAGACTGGTCTCTCGTGTTGTTGCTTCGCAACAAGCTGTTTGGGTGCTTGATTTGCATGTGCAGCTTTGAGCGAACTGGCAGCCCCCGCGGCTCAGACACGTGCGCTGCCCCACAGAGCAGACGTCAAGGCAGCGAGACAATGGTGTTTGCACATGGTGACTGCTACCGCAGCAGTTTGGGTGCTGGGTCCAAGCAGGCTCGCCTACATCCGCATCAGGGAAGAGCGCGCCGCTTTGCTTAGTTTGGAAGCGCGCTGCCCAGCAAAGGCACGCCATTTGCAGCAAGACACCTTTTTGGCTTTTCGGCACTGAGGTCGCTGAGTCTCACCGCCAGAAGAAAGCAGTCGAAGGTCACAGCGACGAGAGAGCTTGCAGCAGATCCCCAGCTAAAGCTCAGCTTCAGAGACCTCCATTTTTTTGCAGAGCCTGCTTAGCTGCCTTAGCTTTTAATCCGCGGAGCGACACCTGCGAGCACGAGCTCGGGCCACAAGAAGCCGGCCATGGGCTGCCAGCGAATGGAGATCACACGCTGTGGTTCCGGGCTTGGAGAGACAGAGTGACAGAGCGCCGCAGCCATGCCGCAGCGACCTTGTGGACTTGTACATAAGGCACCTGCTCAACCCTGTCTCTGTTCTTCCATATAGATATTGCGCAGTCTACCCCCGGCGAGTCAGCACCTTAGTGCAGTGATGCTCTGTGCGCCTGCGATGTTTAACACGTGGTACTCAGGCACCTGCACGTCGTGGGTTCGCACGAGGGCCTCGGTGCATGGAATCCCGACAAGGCTTTCTTTGCCGCTTTAGCTGAGACGGAGGTGCTCCGCACGCTTGTGTCAGGGAGCTCGTCTGACAACCAACGAGCGAACATATCCCGTGTGGCGGTCTCGACAGGTCGCTCGCTCATTCTGCGACTCTTGTCCCTTACCAGTGTGTCTTCAAAGCGTGGTCAGATCGAGTTGAGATGCGCACCGGAAGATTCTTCCACGGTGCTGGTGCTCAAGCTCGGGGCCCAGTTTGAACTCTATGACTGGGTGACTCGGGCATCGACCAAGGTACAAATATGTGCTTGACCGCCGCGAGCTCAAACAGGCCGACCCTTGCACCCCGGCAGTTCGTCTTGCAAAGCAGCACGCTTTGTTCTGGCAGGGCTTCCTGTGGGAAGAAAGCATCCCCGATCGCGAGGTCGTAGCTCTTTTCTGCTACCTCCGAGATCGATCATTGGCTTGCTCTGGCTGAGGTGCAGATACCGTGGTCGCAGGATTGTGACTGTGCTGCTGCCTCCTCAGCGCTTGCTGTGATCCGCTCTAATCTCGTAAGCCATGAGTCTGAGGTATGGCTGATCAGAGACTCGGCCTTCAATCGGGAAGGGGCCACCAAAGTGACGAAGCTCGCTCCAGGAGCAGCGGGCACCTCAGATCTCCAAAGTGCTGAGCCCCGTGCTACCTGTGGCCTCTGTCTGCCTGCCTTCTGTGCCTAGAAGCTCCTTCGCTCTCCACAGCAAGAGACGAGTGAAGGACTGATCTCTGTGCCAGCGCCTTGAGATTCCAGGCTGACGCTCGCAATTCCAGCTCTGTCAATGAAGGCCGGAAGAGACTCCAGAGGCAGAGGAGCCAACCGAGACACCACTCTTCGATGCTAAGCCAGCCCCAGCAGTCTTGCATTGCAACAGATTGTGTCATAACCCTGCACGCAGAAGAAGGTATGCCCTAGTTGGACGCCGCCCATTTGCAAAAGGTGGCTTCAGTTCAGCACGAAACTGAGTTCGGACAAACGTATATAGGCCGTTTTTCAAGTCTGGTTTTGATCAGGTGTGGAGATGTCGTCGCCAAGGCCTAGCTAGGCTTTAATGTGAAGCCGTCAGTGAGTCAGTCTCCCTTTGCTCTGTCACAGGCTCAGCTGGAGTTGGAACAGAGGAGTTTGCGGCGAAGCGCATCGATTTGGCAGGGCCCAGCTGACAGGTTGTCGGGCTTCGAAATGGTCTGGCCCGAGGCCCGTGTTCAGCAAGAAACAGAACTTTGTTCCGGCTCAAGAAGACGAGATGTACTGTAGGTGGACACGAGGATAGCATCCATGCCTGCAATTTGCATCTGCAGATGTACTCTCTACTGTATGTCATATTGGGAGTGTGCGTACTGCCCGCATGCCGCGCTGCCTCGCCACCGCAGCCCTTCTCAGGCCAAGCAGTTCCCTTCGCACCAAGCTGCAGGTTGAAGATTAGGACATGGTCCATGGTGACTTTCGAAGGGTGGCTTTTGAACAACCGAGGGTCTTTTCGACAGCATGTTTGGGGAAACGCCTAGCTTGAGCACAGTGGTTGTGACCCGAAGTTGTGTTGGGAGGGAAGGAATGATGTCTCTTCGAGGCATTGGCTCCCTGAAGCCCTGGTCAACATGTGGCGAGGGTCTCGGGAGCGCAGGGCAAGCGAGCCTTGGTGAAAGGGTACCGGAAGTGGGGATGGTTTGAAGACAGGATGGCGGCGAAACTAAGGAGTTGTGCCTTGCAGTGCTCAAGCAATGAGCCTGTGCTGGATCAATTTCTCAGGCCCTGGGCGCATCAGGACGGGCATATCTGCCCTGGGTGGCTCTTAGCACAGCCTGCATTGTGACAGCACATGGTTGATGCAGCTTCGGGCAGGAGTACTTGCTTCCTTTTCATGCTTTGGACCAGTATTGTGATCCTGCAACGGCCAGAACGCTTTCCGCAGCTGTTGCTGCTGCTTGGACTACACGAGCATCGCAAGTGCACTAGCCTGTCGTGCTTCATGTGAAGTGTGCTCAGAGCGGCTTCAGGTGACAAACAGCTCGATCTTTTGGAAGATCCTTGGTGTGGTCCTTGAAGACACCAAACCAAGTGCCAGCTGTCGTGATCCCTAAAAGCCGGGTGCCTTCGAATGGGCATGTTAAGGAAATGCCATGCAGATGAGGAGGACTGACGGGGTACCGAGGCTTTGTTGCGATGAGCCTTAAGAGTTCCAATGCAGCAGCGCACTGTACTGGTTCAGCAGTGAAGTGAAGTGTGGTGGAGTGCTGAGTGCTGCAGGACAGTGGCTGCATGGATCCTGTTGCCAACGAAGACACCCGACTCTGGCTTCGAATCTTGCTTGAAGTGCTGCAGGCTTGTCACGGGTGGTTGGCATGGTGGTCGCACGTGAGTGGCTTGTTGCTCTCCAGGTGGTCAGGATCGATGGAGCGCTTTTCATCGTGCAGTGTGGAGATGACCCGAATGTCCCCAGCGACCAGGATGCGTGCGGAGTGCACCATGATCTAGGCTTCAACTGTGCATTTCTGACAGGAGCCTTTTCCAGTGTTCCACTCAGAGGGTGGCGCGGGGGTTTGGAACGTGCCATGGCTCAACCCGTACCACCTCAAGGCTTGGGTTGGCCTTCTGACCTTCTGCATCTGCAGCATGTCAAATGAGCGTGCAGTTCTGAAGGCTTTGTTCCAGGGTGAACTCGATGACCGAAATGCACCTTGGCGTGTTCCATGGGCACAGAAGAAGCCGGTGGTCTACTGGCGTGGTGCCCTGACGGTGCCTGACAACATCCCCATGTCGGAGGCAGGCAGCTGAGCGTCAGCCCGAGCAGCGTCCGAGAATTCTCAGCTCGAAGGCACAGCATCTCCCGCGTTTCCGAGTCTTTCAAGTAGCGTCCATGCGCAACGAGCTGTGCCTTGACCTGCAAAGATTCCGCGGGGTTCAGGGTTCGTACCTGTTAGCAAGGTTCGATGTGGGAGTCAGCAGCATTGATGGTGAGCTGATTGCCGCCTGGGGCAAGAAGGCAGGGGGAAGAGTGATGCTGGGGGCAAGGAGCCCGGGAGGCAGGGTCTGTTCGTGAGGCTGTTCAGAAGCTCATGAAGCAGCACAGCGTTCGACGCACCCCGCGTGAGGCACCTGCAGCTACAAAACTGCGAGGTTGTTGGGGGATGCGGCAGCGGAGTGCCGTGCAATTGGCTAAGCGCGAAGAAGAGACAAATTACGGTGACAAACGTGACAATAACTTGTTCGTGAAAACATTGCCAACGGTACCAATCACAATGATTTTTTGAGCTATTGCTGCCACTTGCACGCATTGTGAGGTAACTTACTTGGGTCTATTTCGCTCAGCGCAGCTTGTTGCACCCTTGAAATGCCATAATAAACGATGCTTATGACGGTTCTGGAAACGACAAAGAGGTCTGAGAGAAAGGCCATATGTGTGTCTCAGGAGCCGGATCACATTGCTCTTGGTGCTCTCCTTTCTCTGCCTTCTTGCTGCAGTGATCACTGGGTGACGGTAGCATCGCTACGATAAACGTCTCCATGCGATGCTGACTGTTTCGGAAGCCATTACCCTGATTCTTAAAAATCTTTGAAAGCATGGTTCAGGAAACAGATAACGCGAACGGCGAATAAGAAACAGGAACCACGAATCAGATTGTCATGAGTGCAAAAGAACAGCATTGCCAGTGTCTGAAATCCACCGTGCAAACCCTGAGCACAGCTCGGTCAGGGCTGGGCCGGAGTGTTGGGCCAGGTTGGGTCAGGCTTAATTGAAATTTGGTTGGGGTTCGGCCTATGTCAGGCTTCGGGTGGGGTTTGGCTCGGTTTTGTTGGGTGACGGTATGCAAATAATATCCCATGCTGCAGTGAAAGCAAGTGACATGTGCTCGGAAGGCTTGAGGGAGTGAGTGTAGTCAGAGTAGGGTTTTGGGGTATATCCCTGCAAGCGAGGACTCTTATTGGGGCCCTAAAGGATGATACCAGGCCCCCGGGAGTCGAGAGGCACGTCTCGGCCCGCCACACCCTGAGCGCCTCAGCGCCCTCCGCGCCCGCAACGGCCTCTGAGTTAGTAAGCATCCAGGACGGGTTGGTCCCTACAAAACCCACCGCCACTCCAAACCCACCAAAGNNCCCCCCCCCCCCCCCCGAGCCACCAAAACCCGCACACACCCAGCAACATCCACTAAAACCCACCCCAAAACCCACGCGCAAGCCAGCAGAAACGCACGAACACCCACCCAAACCCATCCCAGACCCAAATCAAACCCTGCAAAACATGGCAAACCCACTCCAGCTCCGCATTGGGGTTTATAATACTTAAACCGCAGAGGGAGTGGGACTCACGGCACAAGGAGCCCTGGTCTCATTGTACAGCGACTTTCCTGCCAAGTGTGGCGACTGTCATGTTACGGCAACACAGCAAAGATAGCTGCTGTGTTTCTGGCTCCTGGTTTGGGCGGGGCGGGGCCTTCGTGACATGACATAAACACAGAAGAAATGCCACCAGCCGTGAAAGGTGTTACGACGGCACTGCGTGGACTTCTCTCCTTGTCTTGAAAAACACCATTGCGCACTCTCAGCCTCGTGTTTCTCATCCATCCTTTTCGGGCGGCTGCACCTGTCGGTCCCGATGAAAATTAGTGCTCTCAGCCATCGGGTAACTAACACATTTAGATCTCGTGCGCCTAGTACCCTCCTCCCTGTCTCGCCTGCGCGTGAGTATGCGCCCAGCCTTCTCAAGTTAGGTGAGGTTAGGTCGAGGGAGGGTCGTTAGGTTCAGGTTCCTGGGTGACGGGCTCGGGTCGGTTGGCTTAAATTAGGTTGGTTTACATCTACGTCAGAGATCTCGGTAGGTGAGCGCCTTAGAATATGAGGTTAGGCAAGGGCGGGTGAGGGTCTAGAGTAGGTTACCTTAAGTTAGGTGCGTTTTGTCGGTGGCCGCAGTACATCCTTCAGTAAGCTAAGTGGGTCAAAGCAACGACACACGCGCTCTGTCAGTGTGCGATCATAGCAGGCCTTTGCATACGGAGTCCAGGATTGTCGTAATTGGCATAGAAATCAAAGCTGCAAACATTTGTGGACGCGCCCTTCACGGGCGGCGGTTGCCGACAAGATCCTGAGCGCATGCAGGGTTGCCAGATTCTCTTCAATTAAAACTCCATTTGGGAGTGGACTGCAAGTTTCTCTGAACTTCGACGTGTTTTGGCGCATATGGCCCATGCCGATTTTTCTGCAGGACTTCGCGGAGGTCGCGCCCAGATATCGCTACCTGTTAAACTTGAACGGCGTGGTGTCTTCGTGGCGACTTTCGCAACTGCTCCGTGTTTCGGCTTTTGATAACTGCCGCATGTCAAGGGGATTGCCCTATAACCAGTGACCCCTTTCTATCATCCTTGTCCAGGACAGGATTTATGGTAACATGCAATGTAGTCCCGAGAATCTGTCGAACTCATCGGCGCGGGGAAAAGCACAGAAATCCGATCGGAAGGCCATGTAGCCGGTTGCGAGACCAACAACAACAACGACAACAACTGCTACTGCTACTGC